TCTGGAACGCGGGGGCGCGGGGTGGGGCGGGGGTGGGGGCGGAGAGTGGGGGCGGGGAGGCAGGGGTTGCCGGTCCCACAAGCCCCCGCGGCGTTGCCGGGCGAGCGGACGCCGCTTCCCGCACGCCCCTTTGAGAAGAAGCCAGGCAGGCAGTTAGACCTGAGCCGAGCAGCCCGAAGGGCTCGAGGGGACAAGTGTCTGCAATGGACTGGCGAGGGCTCGAGGGTGCCCTCGCTCTGGATCGCCCTCCTGGGCTGTCCTTGCCGCGCTGGAAGGGTCAGAAAAAGCCAGAGAGGGAACGCGGTGCCTCAGCGGGCTGCCATAGTGGTTCTCTTCCTTCCTAGGGAGCTAGATAATGGGCCCGGGAGTCAGAAGACGTGAGCAGTGCAGCAGGGCATGGGGACCCTTCTTGAACAGCCGACAGTACACCTCCTCTTCCTCCCCATGCGAGTGTGGTTGTGTACGGTCTGAAGCCATCTGGGATATTGTTTTTAAAGAGGGCTACCATCATTCACGAACAGAAACTGCCTAGGGGCTATGCAGTCTGTGCGGGGATGGGGAATGCTGGCTCTCTTGAGTGCCTAAGAATCGTCAGGTGTACTGGCTAGGACTTAAGTTCAGTCTTCCTCTTCCATTCTGACCTTGTCATAAACACCAGTTAATTCTCCAAAGAGGTCTTGAGAAAGATTTCTTTTTGGTTCGAAGATCTCAGGCATGGGAAGTGGTTTTGTTTTCCGAGTAAAACTAAGGAGTAACTTTAGATCTACAGGAAAGTTAGCAGCACAGTATAATGGTCTATATATCCCAACATTGTGTGTGTGTGTGTGTGTACTAATGAGCTAATCTCTTTATTCTCAGTGGTGTGGTGTTTCTTGTTTTTTTTCATTAAAATTTAAAATAGCAAATATTTCATATTAATCCTCAGTCTCTCCTTTTGCTATCTCTGTGATATTAGGTCTAATTGCATAGACTTCTTTAAAAAAAAAAGCCAAAGTCTCTAGTTTTGCTTATTTAGCTCAGTTTAAAATGAATAATTTCATAACCTGGTGTGGAGTAAGCCACCACACCACTCAGCACTCAGGAGGCAGAGGCAGATGGCTCTCTGTGAGTTTGAGGCCTTTAAGTCTATGTACATAGTCAGTTTCCAGGCCATCCAAGTGCACTATAATGAAACTCTGTCTCTAAAAAACAAAAATCAGTTAATAACCTATAGCAGGAAATTCAGTTTTATTTTTATAGATTTTAATTTTGTGTGTGTGTGTGGTGTGAGCATATGTACATGTGAGAGCAGGTACCTCTAAAGGCCAGAAGAAGTAGGTCATTTTGAGTTGCCATCTCTCCAGTCCCCAGAGCAGGTAATTCTTATCTATAAAATATCCAATTATTAATGTCTCTGTACTGTGTTACTCAGTTTAGGAGAGCAACCAGCAATGAATGAAGATGGTTGAACATACTATTTGCATACCAGTTTAAACTGTGTGTGTGTGTGTACATGTGTGTGACAGACCAGCTCAGCCAGAGCACTGGGACAGATGGGACAGGTTCTCAGCAATAGGTGGGTAAGGAGTCGGCGAATGACAGACACAAGACTCAATTCAAGCCACCGATCTCTCACGTAGGCTGTGGCACAAGCTTCAAGGAAGAGTGCCCGCAGAGAAGGTGTGTGTGCTTTCTGCATTGGAGCCCGTGCACTCTTGGCATTACCTGCTTGTATTCTAAGGAACACAGTCTGGTTTCTTCTGGAAGGGAAGATAGGATGTTTAAGTTTCTAGAGTCTATGATGAGCCATTGCCATATACAGGAGTGTATGATGCTAATGGAGGAAGAGGGTTTAACATTCAAGGGAAAAAGGTTTTTAAGTTTAATCTGGTGCTTAGTAAACAAAGAACAAAAGGCAAACTTAATTAAGCAATTAAGACAGATTCAGAAAAAAAAATGGGATAAGGATAGAAGAGAGATAAATGCCTGTAACATCTTGAGATTGTTTTGGGGAAGGTTTGAAAAGGAGTTAGAAATGTGGAGAAGGAGAAGAAAAGAAGTTCTTCTGCATAGATTGCAGAAATGTAAAAAGACTGGAGACTGTTAGTGTTAACCACAACCGCTTGCCCTTAGCTCAAAATGCCGTGAACTCATAGCCTAGATAAAGAGTTATATCGAAACTAATGCCAAGCCATGTTTAGCATGGTTAACCATAGACTCACACTGGAGACATCTGTCTGATGAAATTCTATTCTCATGTATCATATCTGATACGATGATTCTAAGAATAATCTGTACCACATGAAAAAAATAATACTTGCTGTTAAACCATCTTTTCTGGCTAATGCCTCATGCCTAGTAAAGACACATTCAGATGCAATTCCTTTGAGTCTTGTGTCTGTCATTGGCCAACTCCTTACCCACGTATTCCTGAGACCCTGTCCCATTGGTCCCAGGGTTCCAACTGAGCTGGTCTGCATGTGTGTGTGTGTGTAACTTTTGCTACCTAGCACAGTTCGTAGCCATTTAGATTGCTCTCACTTCACCCTTACATTTTTAGGGAAAACATTTTGGTGCAGTAGTTGAAATGTGGGCTGTGGGCTTGACAGGTTGTTGGAGTCATTCTGGTAAGGACATTCACCTCACTTCATAGGTTTTTTTTTTTTTTTTCCCCCTGAGGGAACAAAGATAACTGCTTGACTGTACCATTGTGAAGACAGGTATGATTAGCCAATTGTGATTACTGTAATACTGTAGGGATTAGGGAGGAGGAAGTTGTTTGAAGTCTTGTGGTGAACAAGTGTACCCCAATGCTATTTCCTAGCATTGCCAATAGCTTCAGGCCTTATTTCGGCACCTTGGCTAGTAATTTGAAAATTCATTGTTTAATGATGGGTTTCAACATTTAGGTCGATTGCCTTTGCCTAATAGTTACACTGACTGTAGTGTGAGTATAGCTTTGTTTTTCTAAACCCGGTACTTTCTGTGTTAATAGGAGATAAACATAGGCAGCAAAAGAACTCACAGGCCACAAACAACATTTCTAATCATATAATGCCAAATGGGAAGGTACTTATGACAGCATATGTTGGCGTGTGGACGTGATGAATGCTTTTTTTTTTTGACATTTGAACCTCTGTAAGGCTGTAAAGTTTTTTAGAACAATGTATTTTTTCAAAGTGTGTGTGTGTGTGTGTGTGTGTGTGTGTGTGTGTGTGTGTGTGTAAAACCTACCATTTATCCGGGGCTTACTGTGTACTTGAGCTCTTGCTGTGCTTTCAATGGGCATCTTAAAGTTACAACACCCGGATGAGTGCCCGGCTTTATTACTTGCTCATGGTCTTGTGAGAAAATCAGGACGCATGCTACATTTAGTTCAAAGTCTCCTACCCTTGTTCCTTGTACCTGTGCAAAAAAACCATAGAAGATACTAAATAGCTGCTTATGAATAACGAGGAATAAGGACAAGAGCTTGAGAATGGCATAGCATACCAGGAAGCTAAAGGTGAGAACAGCACCAGTGATTAGGATGTAGGATTAGTTCGAATAGAGACGTGGATCTGGTACCAGTGTTGCCCAAGAACCTGGATTAACTGGGAGTGGCGGAAGGAAGCTTTCCCTGAAGAAGTGGACTTTGAGGTGATAGCTAACTATTGAATTAGAGTTGACTAGAAAATGATGGTTCAGTATACATCCCAGGCTGGCAAGAAACAAAAACCAGTTTGATATGTCTGAATTAAACTTGCAAGAGTGATAGGCAAGCTGGCAGAACTGAGTCCAAGTTATTAGGACTGTAGTGTAAACTAAGCAGTTGGAATTTTATTTTGAAAGCTATCAGAGAACAAGAAACTTCAGCGAAATAATGACAGGATTACACTTTTGTTTGGAGAATATTGAACTGGTAAGTGATGGGGAGAATTGGACATAGGGAGGTGAATGATAAGCCCCTAAGCTGTTTTCCTTAATCTAGTGAGGAGGTTAAATAAGTGGGGTTGATGAGTAGGGGATGGATTTGAGAGCACCGAGGATGAGTTTGTTGAGAGCGTGACCTCAGGTTTATGGCTTAGACAGCTGTTGCTGTTTAGGAAGGTAGAAAATGTAGAAGAAACAGATTGGGCAAGAATGCTGTTTGATTTGGATCTGTTGTGCTCCATAACATGGTTTGTGACTCAGAGAGACAGGGTAGGAAGATTCTGAGTAAGTAGACTAGGCAGGCACAAAGCAAAATGTCATCTGTGCGAGCGCTTAGAGTGGATTGATCCCTGTAAAAACCCCAGCTCATATTCACGGTAAATTGTCAGTTGATTGCCTGTTTTATGCTAAAAAAAAACCAAACCTAGCCCTGTTTACCTTGCTTATGTCGCCAGGCAAAAGCCTTTCCTCAGTTCTTGTATTCCTGAAGGAGAGGATTCAGGCTGACACACTATTTAAGCAAAGCTTATCCAGCAAAGCAAACGCTACAAGGAGATCAATACTACAGTAGATTGTCTCCAAGGCAAGGGAAGAGCAGCCCGTTGGGTTTTGTGTTATGGATTTCAAAGAATTTTTATGACTATGAGATTGATTCCATATTCATGGATACGGTCTACCTTTACTCTCCTAAATGATAGAAGACCGTAGGAGATTCCCACAGTCATCTTGAAAAATATTTGAGTGTGTGTTGTGTGTGTGTGTGTGTGTGTGTGTGTGTGTGTGTGTGTGTGTGTGTGGAATGTGTAGGGGTCAAAACCATAATGAAAATGATGTAATGAAGTTAGGGTCTTTGGAGGATGTAACCCTCATTAGTTCACTAGTATGCGTATGTGGCAGGCAGTTGGGAAAGTGTCCTCCTGGTCCCCTAGTTTTGTTTTGTTTGACAGGGTTTCTCCAAGTAACCCTGAGTGTCCTAGATCTCACTGTAGACCACACTGGCCTTGAACTCAGAAATCAGCCTCTGGAGTACCGGGTTTAAAGGCGTGCGCCACAACTGCCCTAGTTTTTAATAAGACCCTAACTTCAGCTTCAATGATTCTTGTAATCACAAAGGGGGCATTTTGACCATCAGGGGACATAGCCTCCAGGTCCTTGGTTTTATCATGTCTTCCTGCTGCCCAATGAGAGGCACAACCATTGAGAGGAAAAACAACTCTAGTTTTTCCTGGCTGCCTCCTATCTATGCCTTGCCCTTGATCTGACCTCCCAAAGGACAGGTTTTGGTTCCTTATTGGTTTTCTTTCTCTTTCTTTCTTTCTCTCTCTCTCTCTCTTTCTCTCTTTCTTTCTTTCATATGGCCCTGCCTTGGGGATCATTGTGTAGTCGATCTAATGGTTGCAGATGGAATTTATAAAGATGAGGGGAGTACTGTTTCTTCTCAGCATTATTCTGATGGCTGTAAGATATTAATGGGTAAAATTGTCTGAGATTCATCTCATTTATCCTTGCCCCCAGATAGTTTTATTTATTTTGCATCCCAACAGCGCTTTCCCCTCCCTCATCTCCTCTCCTCCCAGCCCCTCCTCCTACCTCCTCTTCTGCCCCACCCCCATTCAGTCCTCCTCCATTTCTATTCAGAAAAGTGAAGGCCTTCCATGGATATCAACTAAACATGGCATATCAGGTTGCAGTAAAGGCCCTCAGCTCCTGTTAAGGCTGGACAGGGCGATCTAGTGTGAGGAATAAGGTCCCAAAAGCCCTAGCCCCCAGATATTGATAAGTGGTTTAAGAGAGATTATTCCAGTTTCAAGATAAAATTGAAATCATGTTTACATTAGTTATTTTTCATGTTGCAAAGACAGAATACCCCAAGTGAATTCAAGGGAGCGGGGATTTATTTTGTCTCCTAGTTTGAGGGTTTGGTCTATCATGGTCGGGAAGGAGGATGAGGCTGCATGCATTGCGTCTGCAACTAGACAGAGTGAGAGAGGAAGAGAGAGAGAGAGAAAGAGAGAGAGAGAGAGAGAGAGAGAGAGAGAGAGAGAGATACATAGATAGAGAGAGATAGATATGCTGGTCTGTGCTTAGCTACCTTGCTTCTCTTTGCCAGTTTGAGGCCCCAGCCCCTGAAATGGTTCTACTCACATTGAGGATGGGCCTTCCCACCTCAGTTAACTAAGTCCCTCCCAGACAGGCCCAGAAGTGTGTGGTTCTGGATCCTGTCAAGCTGACAGTGTTAACCATCAACAATGCTTTAGTAGCTTTTATAAGCCTATCTCTCATCAGCTCTTGTACCAGCATAAGAAAACCTTTTAGCTCTTAGAAAAACAATAGGCTTGTGCACCAGGGATCGGGTGCCCGACCAAACAGACCAAACAGTGCAGGGAAACGACTGCCCCAGCTCCATTTGCCCAAGAAGTGGTCCAGTAGGGACATGTGGGGCCGGGGGTAGGGTGGGCTGTATGTGAATGCTGTAGACAGATATTGATGATTATATTTGTTTTATTCATATTTTTGAAAACTTTTATTTTTCCAGGCAACCTCTCGGCTTCTAGTAAATTACCCAGAGCCCTTTCGTTCTGAAATACTGGATTATCTCTTTAAGGTAAGGAAAATTAATTATCTACTGGGCTTATGATGTTTTGAAAGTGTATGGTCAATCTCAACCATAGAGTTTATCAGCTTCCTGGTAGCTTTTGTAGACGATGGCAGATTCCGCTTGGAATAAACTGCCTTGTGCGGTGTTGCTCTCTGCATCTGTGCAGCCAAAGCCTCTGGATGATTGTGTGGAGGTTTGACATGATGGAGCATGGTGATAATACTGTTGTTTTTCTCCACAGCCAAACTTCGGTGCCTCTTTGCATATTTTAAAAGTGGAAATAGGAGGTGATGGGCAAACAACAGGTAGGAGGATCTGGGGAACAGGATCCCCAACGTTTTAACCTGTGCTTAAACACGCAGGGCGTGAGGAGGGTCAGCTCATAGCAGGTGGCTGTTCCTCCACAGACTGCTTTCCTCTTCTCCCTTCTCATTTCTGGGATACTTAGGCATGTGTGTGCATATGTGTGTGTGTGTGTGTGTGTGTGTGTGTGTGTGTGTGTGTGTCTATGTATGTTCATGGCTGTGTGGAGGTTAGAGGAAGACTTGAGGGAGTCAGTTCTTTCCTCCCACTGTGTGGGTCCTGGGAATCTAGCTGAAGTCGTCAGGCTGGGTGATATGCACCTTTGCCTGCTGAGCCATCTTGCTGATCTGATATTTCTTATTTTTGTTTTTAAAAATTATGTCAAATGTAAAATTTTCAAGATGGTATTAATACTCTAAATTGCTCAACTGGAAGTTTACGAAAAAGTTATAAAAAGTTTAATTATGTATAGGATATTAAGAAGTTATAAACTTTAAAAATGTATTGTAAAATACAACTTGTATTTTAGAAACACAGAGCTTTTTTTAAAAAAAACAACATATATTAAATAATTAAATCTTCAACCCTCATAATCAAATTTTAAAGTACTTCTGTTCAGTATTTAACTTAATACTTACAGGCTAAGCCCATTAATATTAACTTGAGACTATCTTCTATATATTTGTCTTCCTGCTAGCGATTTCAAAGTTTTTTTTTTAAAGATGTATTTTGATTTTATGAGTATGAGGGTTGTGTTTGTGAGGATATATGTATACCGTGTGCATGCCTGGTGCCTGCAGGGGCCAGAAGAGGGAGCTGGACTCCCTGGGACTGGAGTGTCAGATGGTTGGGAGCCTTCATGTGGGTGCTGGGAGCCAAGCCCATGTTCTCTGGAAGAGCATCCTTTACAGCTGAGGCATGTCTCTAGCCTGCCGGTAGTCATTTTCTAACAGGTACTTCTGAGTGAGTACTCTATTGGAGTTTCAGGACAAAAACCTTGGCATCTAGTGAGACAAACTTGGTTTGACTACTTATCAGGGACACAGCATTGGTGGTGGACAGGAAGGGCACTCTTACCATCCAGACCACACTGGAAGATCAAAGAAAGGTCTAGTGAACTATGGCTTGTTGTGAGGGGGCTGACAAGGATTTTGAGGTCGTATGGAAATGGGGAGCAAGGGCGTGTGTCTGTGGTTTGGCTAGCTAGAGTTTTGCATAGTTGGTAGAGCAGGTAGCCTTGGTCAGGCTGCAGTCTGATCATTCATTATCTCAGGGCTGGTTCTGCAAAGGTCCCGAGAAGTCTTCCTCCATTGAGAGGGCAGCTTGATTTCCCTTCTTACCTACTGTTGGAGGCTTGCTGTTGTTTTGGGAGGCAGTCTTAGTCTGCTGTGATAAAGATGTGTTTGTGGATCAGAACTGTTCTTAGACTCCAGGATAACGGCAGGACCGAGTAATTTAGGAGAACTCAGGAAGGAAAAAGTGAGGCAAAATGAAGTCAGAGAGGAAGAAAATGAGAGGGAGGTAGGTCAGTTGTTGGACCCTCTTTCAGTATTCATGTAGAATTTATGTGGAAAGATAAAAAGGTCCTGTAGAACAGAGGCTTTTCTCAAAAAGTGTCTTGTTCAAAGATTTAGACAAGGTGCCAGTGCAGACAGGGTGCCAGTGCAGACAGGGTGCTGATGCAGATAAGGTGCTGATGCTGATCTGGTGCATTTGCTGAAGCTAAATTAGAGATAATGACACATACGTACATTCTCATGTTGACATTAAAGAAGAAATGGTTCAGAAGCATCATTCATATACGACTCCATTGAGCAACAACTGGGGTTTGTGATGCATGAGAGCACGTGCAGACTTTCTTGGACGTCAGAGAACGACCTCTGACCTCGGTGTTTCCTCTGCCAATTGTGAATGCTGGCATAGGACTTTGATATTGTGGTATTCACTTTTCCATATGACATGCTACACAGTGGAATATAAGAATTGGAGCTCAGGAGTACAGGGATTCATACCCAAAGTTGAGAATGAAAAGTTGAGATGATATGGACTTGAAGTTGGACTCGGGAGCTGGAAAACCTCAGAGAGATCAAAAGCTCAGCAGAACTCAGTTCTGGGAATTTGTAGTAATAAAATGCGATAGCTTCTCTCTCATTACTGTTTTTAACGTAACATTGTGGTTTTATTATTTAAGGACCTTATAGTGCTTAACATCATAAAAAAGTAGGAAATGATATACTTTGCACAGCCACCTTCTTATATAATTTTTATCTTCACAACTTCACAACTAGAATACAAGGAAAGTACTACTTTAAAAATTGTGTTTGTGTGTGTATAAGTGTGTGAGTAGAGTATGTGAATGTGTGTGTGTGTCTGTGATATATATACACATACATACAGCTGAGGGATAGATAGATAGATAGATAGATAGATAGATAGATAGATAGATAGATAGA